CCACAGATCGGCGCATCGGTGGTGATCTTCCCCAACGGAGGCCGAATCTTAGAGCAGTTGGGTCTTTACCAGAGGATACAAGAATTGGCCCAGAGGCTCCGACGGATTCATACATGCTTTCCTGACGGGTTTCACTATGACAACAATGTACCTGAGCAGGTGAAGAAATTGTATGTTTATCGTAATTATCTATTGGGCTTAGGCACTGAGTAAAGCATCTATAGATTCGGCATGGACTTTGCTATCTTGGAGCGAAGACAGCTGCTTGAGGTCTTGTACACGGGACTACAGGACAAGGCCAAAGTACATACCGGTCAGCAAGTGACCAGTGTGTTGCCGACTGAAGCTGGCGTATCGGTGACAACGGCCGACGGGACCAGATATGATGGTCATCTCGTCGTCGGAGCGGATGGAGTCCATAGTTTCGTCCGGTCGGAGATGTGGCGCATCGCTGATCTGGAGCAGCCACGGCTTATATCAAAAAAGGAAAAATCGGGTAAGTAGACATAACAAATAATTGACCTTGGCTAATTGGCATAGATATGACGGTGGAATTTGCGTGTGTTTTCGGTATCTCGAATCCAGTGGAAGGGGTCAAGTCTTGGGATCATGTCATTCGATACAACCGCGGAGTGACGCTCTTTGTCTTTCCTGGAACAGATAATGGCGTATTCTGGCTCCTATTTCGAAAGCTTGACAAAAGGTATACCTATCCCAACACGCCTCGGTTCACGAAGGAAGATGCGATTTCCACATGTGAATCATTGGTCGACCTTGCTGTATGGGAGAATGTCCATTTCGGTGATATCTGGAGGCAACGGCGAACCTTCCACATGACAGCGTTGGAGGAAGGCCTGCTAAGAACATGGCACTATGGCCGCATAGTCTGTATTGGAGACAGTGTTAGCAAGGTAATAGGCTGTTCTAAGGACACCAGATACGATTCATCAGAGATCACTAACCTGAATTTCAGATGACCCCAAATCAAGGGCAAGGAGCTAATACAGCGATTGAGGCTGCAGCTGGTTTGGCAAATGTGTTGTTTTCTGTAAGGCAAAAGGCCGAGGGAAACAGTCCATCAGAGGGAGAAATTCAACGAATGCTTGATCAGTTCAACACGACACAGTTCCAGCGTCTATTAGCGATCCATCAAAGCTCGGAGTTCCTGACTCGGCTCCAGGCATGTGATGGCCTGGCCAAATCCTTATTTGCCCGTTTTGTGGCGCCATATTGTGGAGGCACTATTGAGGGAATTTCTGGACTGGCTACGAGCGGCACAGCCCTGGACTTTGTGCCCCTGACTGAACGCTCTGGAAGGGGTTGGTCGCCCGTATCTTCTTGGGCGCCATGGATATCCAAGATGGCGTATCTCGGAACCCAAGCATTCGTTGGCTTAGCGATTGCATCACTTCCAGCAAGCGTTGCGTGGACATTATACAAAATAGCTATTACTAGACTGCTAGCTAGGTGAACATTTTCTGTGGGCTCCGATTATACTTCTTTACGCCCTTTAACTCACCGCTAATTGGGTCAAGTATGGATCCAGCCCGTACGGATCGACAGTGATAGCATCTGCTCCTCCGATTAGTAACATGCTCGAGTCTTTATTTTGCCGCTCTCTTCAGCTTTAGGCTTTTCCATTTACTCCCAGGCTCAGAGTACTCTCGATATCCGCGCGTGAGCTAGCTTAGCCGGGCCCCTTGGCATGCATGCTATCACATCTATTGGGACGCGTCGCATGAAGATCATTGTGCTACTCATCGAGGAATTACTAGACGCATCTTTAGGTCAACCTAGTCCGAATATTCCGCATATTTGGCTATCCCATCATAGATAGTTCCCTCGTGAAAGGAGCCACGTATGAGGTGTCTATCTTTCTAGGCTAAATCTCGGGCTCTGAAGACGTACAGGTCTACCCACTTAGTATCTGCGAGCCTCTTCAAGCAATATCTTTACTGAAAGAGGCTCTTGCTCACTCTACCCCTGAATTAGTACACAAAATGACCTCCTAGGGTTCGAAACGATGGCCAACAGTAGAAAATATAAACATTTGCAAGATATTGTTTCACCACAACAATGAGTAACCCAACGCAACATACCTGAGGAACCAATTTCCTGAGCCAAGACTATGTTGATCTGACATGTCGACTAATGCATGTGGCAGTGCAGCACGTCGCGTTGATAAATACCAAATGAGGGTTAAGAGCAGTCCATTGTATGGCATATTTCCCCTACCCGCTTAACTTGATTAATCAATCAATTCAACCTTAATTCTCGGGCATTGGCTTCGTACCTCGTAGGGCTAGCAATAGCATCAATCACAAACTCATGCGAATGAGCTAGTTCGCAACTAGCGTCGCTCCTATTGCCTCAATTTTGGAAACGGTTAAAATGGCCACGGCGGACTACATCCAGCTGAATAGTGGGTATAATGTAGCCAGTAGGCTCAATTGATGAAATAGCAGCCAGCGGAGTGGACGAGTGAATTAACCCGTCTACGGACCAACGGCAACGGTGCCTTGCACCAAACCGCCTGGAGAATAGCATATCCGCCATGCCAGGTATATCTGATCCAAAAATACCATATTCCCCGCAGCTTCTGGACAGGTTCCTCGTCATCACCCGCGAGATCGACAGGTGGAAAACGCTAAGCTCTCGCCGGGTGGGCCCCAGTCCGCCAGTGAGACTTTAGCCCTGTAGTGGAGGATCAGCGGGCGCCGCGTGTGCACTCAAAACCACCTCAGACCAATAAGGATACTTGCTGTACGGGTGCCTATTGTTAATGTGGTTTGTTATGACCTACAACTGTGGTTAACTATGGAGATACTCCGTTGCCGATCATTTACTAGGGCTAGTGATGGAGTATGTGCCGGAGTTGATGAATCCCGAAGACAATTCACTTCTCCGAAGTTATGCCATGCATTGAGACTTGTCCTTTCTGTACCATCATTGACCCATTTTTGAGGCATATCTTCCTAGGCATCATGTTATGGTTGTCTTTGTTTTGCATGCCTTACAGTCTGCTGAGGCGATTCTTCGGCTGGTTACCCCGTAGAATGAAGTACCATTGATGCAAGCGCCGTATAGTCGAGCAAGGGATCCACCTATTCGTAAGACGACAACTGTCTTTGCGCTCGGTCAACCAGAGTCGAAGTCTGGTACAGTACCGGGGGATCGGGCCCACAGCCCTATCGACACAGCTTCTGATGCTGACGACTCACCCAGGACAAACGCCACGTCAAGCTGGTCGTCATTTCCGATTTCAATGGCGCCAGATTAGCAACACTGTCAGATGGTGGACGTTTGGCTGTAGATCAAATGGTATAAAAGGAACGGTGCAACAGGCCTCATTATTCCATCATCAGCTCAAATCCAATACACAATCACCAGTCACTCACCTTCCACTCACCACTCAATTACCCATTCGTTCAAGTTCCCTTGATTCAACTATCACAATGAAGATTTCCACCGTTCTCTCTACCTTGATGGTTGCTGGCCTCGTTGCGGCCGCTCCTCCTGCCGAGCGTATGTCCACTCTCCCCTTGCTGAATGAAAACATGGCTAATGCTTGTCGAAAGGCCCTACCGGTCTGCAGAAGGCTCCAGCTCCTCTTCCTACCGCTGATGCTCCTGTCCCACCGAAGCCGGACAATGGCAATGACAAGCGTGGAGATGTTCCCCCGCCTAAGAAGCCTACCGATCTCCCAGCTCCTCCTAAAGATATCAAGGAGAACGACAATGGCAAGCGCGGTGACGTGCCGCCTCCTCCTACCGACAAGCCTCTCCCTCCCAAGGAGAAACACGACAACGACAAGCGTGGCGATGTCCCTCCCCCTCCTCCCACCGATAAGCCCCTTCCACCCAAGGAAGGTGACAAGGGCAAGCGTGACGAGGTTCCCCCTCCCCCTAAGCCCACCGACAAGCCTGCTCCTCCTAAAGAGAACGACAACGGAAAGCGTGGGGATGTACCGCCTCCTCCCCCGACGGACAAACCTTTTCCTCCTAAGGAGAAGGAGAACAACAACGACAAGCGCGGCGACGTCCCTCCTCCTCCTAAGCCTGCTGACGACAAGCCCGTTCCCCCTAAGGAGAATGATAACGGAAAGCGTGGCGATGTTCCCCCTCCTCCCCCCACTGACAAGCCTCAGCCTCCCAAGCCTGCTCAGCAGTAAGCAGTAGGCCACGGGATATATCTTGCCTGATCAATTACCGGGTCAAGCACGATAGGGGACGATCAACCTCTGGGATAGGAGTGGAGGGCTTTTACACTTACAATGGCTTCGTCTTTTCTTTCTTTTTTTGTCCAGCTGGATTTATTATGTAGCTACTCAATCGAATGCATTCCTTTTTTGTATGGTTTATGTTTCTAGTTGTCGTGTAGTCTGTCTGTGTTCGAATCCTCACCCAGTTACATGTCACATTGGTTATCGTAGAAGGCGCCTACTGTCACTGCGTTTCTAGAATATAGACCATGTGTAATCCAGTGATTCAGGAAATTGCACTACTGGTGTGATTCCTGCTTTATATAGAGTATCTGCATCAAAATCCAATCATTTATGTTGAGTAATCAATTAGATGAGGGTTGTGTGGCTCTTGACAGACGAAATATATACCTGGCTACTTTTTGTAGAATGAATGCCAATGCTTCATAGGGGATAACACAGCTGGGGTTTGTTTAAAGGTTTGTAAAGTAAGAATGCAGGTTGGTAAACGAAGCATCTAGCATCATAGTACTATAGCAGACATATGGTGATATATGCGTACATGCACTCGCCTGACGCTATATATTTTGGCTGGGTTGATACTACTTTCTTGAAGAGGGGACCCCTCGCGCTTTTCTTTCGGTAGTGACCGCCATCATATGAACTGTTGGTATTTGAAGAAAGAAATGGAAAATATAGAAAATGAAAGATTCATGAAAAAGGAAATGGTCTGATTGAACAGTCCCATAAATGTATCTACACAGGAATAGATGTTCATAGAGTAACAAGCCCTGAATAATCATTGAATGGTAAAACCACCGTCCACCCTGATGTCGGCACCATTAATCATACCACTGGAATCCTGTTGGACTGGTTAGAGCGAGTAAATAAGCATGGTGATACTGAAATGCTTACCTGACAGAGGAAAAGAACAGCATCTGCGACCTCCTCCGGTAAAGCGAATTTCCCGGTCGGGATCGTCTTCAGAAAGGCCTCTCGTACATCATCTCGTCCCCACGCCTTCTTTCCGAGCTCGGTCCAGGCTACTGTTGGGGAGACAGAGTTCGACGTGATGCCACGACCTCCCCACTCGGAAGCCATACTACGTGTCAATCCTAAGAGCGCGGCTTTAGAAGCGCAGTATGCGCTATGCCGAGGCAGTGCTACATGCGCGGCCTGCGAGGCGATGTTGACGATTCTTCCGGGTGGCGGAGGATTAGTTGACGACTCTGCAGCCTTGGACGCAGCGAAGTAGAGTCGAGCAAACGCTTGCGAACACAGCATTGGTCCGAAGACATTCGTGGTGAGATGCTTCATGGTGTCCTCGGGTGGCGTCGATTCCATATCACTGAGGTTGACATAACCAGCTGTATTGATTAGGATACTGGGAAAGGCCCGATCAGCCACAGAGACAGACGATGGCTCGACCATTTCCTTGTCCAGTGCTTTGAATGCCGACTGGACTGATTCCGGCGACGTGATGTCGCATTCATAGGTGCGGATTTCATCTGAGTCGCGAACCCGACCGTACGTAGACTCTAGCAGTTGGTCTCGACGCCCAGCCTCAAAGGGCGCGTACAAGATGGCTAGTCGAGCTCCTTGCTGTCTGAGCTTCTGGCCTATGCTGGACCCAAGGCCACCTAGACCACGGTTAAGATTAACATGGTTCTCATTCTCGGCGACCGCTCAACCCTACCTAGGCCTCCGGGAAGGATTGCTAACCTGCGAGCAAACGCCATACCCACGACTGATGTAGTATCGAAACTGGAGTTGGGGATGATAGTGAGGAATGAGTCTTTCTTTACCCCTCAGGACGTTTCGTGGACTTTGCCTGTTGTGGTAAAGCGATAAATTTGGCTATGATGTCATTTCATCTCGGTTATTTTTCTGGGCATATAAAACACGATCTGGGTAGAAGACTTCATGGATGAGTGTGCAAGCATGGGGAAAATGACACTAAATGGCAACACCTTGTTCGGCTTATCTGCAATCACTCTTTGTCTCCCTTGAACTACATGGTATAACTGCTGACTCTCCGCAACCGCTCCCCATAAAACCATAGGACCAAGGGCACCGGTACCGCTACGGCCAAGGCCAGGAAGCCCAGAAGGCTATTTCCCCACCCGTAGCCGAGGCGTTCGTACATAGAAGGCCCAAACAAGGGGAAGCCGAAGGCACAGAGACCTCTGGCGAGATACGACGCCGCCATTGCACTCGCGCCATACAGCGGGAACGTATCGATAAAGTAGGCCATCACGCATTGGAAGACAAGGGTACATCCGCACATCAGGACTACGATGGCAACGTTGGGCACCGCCCAATGCAGCTTCGCCTCGGCTGTCCAACCATACCAGAACAGCGCGGGTGGCACGCACACGGCACTGATGGCTAGCAGTGGGAGGCGAAATTCCGGCCGTCCTTCATTCTGGTTCCGTCGCTTGAGGGCGAGGTATATGCGGTCGGCGGAGAACATGCCGATCTGGATACCAATGAAGTAGCCGATTCCAGGTGCGATGAAGTGCAGCGACGCGAGATCCTTGGGCTCTTCGTAGTGCCGTTCCCAGAGTGTCGGGAAGGTCGAGAAGATGAGATACGTGGTCCCGTAGATGATGGCCGCGTAGAGTGACAGTAGCATGACAATAGGCTGCGTCGTGAGGAACTCCATGGGGCGTATAATGGTCTTGGTGTAGAGGGCCGCGAGGGTGCGCTGCTCGTCATCGTACAATGCTTTAGGATCATTCTTGAGAAGCTGCTTCTTCCGGCGACCAAGAATAACAGGGGGATATGTCTCGCGGAAGACAAAGGCGCTGATGACGATTAACACACCAGCCACGGCAGAGGTGGCGTAGAAGTCGTAGCGCCAGGATGCGGAATAGCTGGTGAAGCCGCCCACGATAGCACCGATTGGGGTCGCGAGGATGAAGGCCATGTTCAGGACAGCAAGTCCTTGGCCCCGCTGCTCGACTGGGAAAAGATCGCTAACCATTCCAACTCCAACCTAAGTAAGCTAGTAGTCAGTTATACATAGCATAGCTCATATTGCACCTGCTATACTCACGGTAGGACTTGCACCGCTTCCAAACCCTGACAAGATTCGAAATGCGAGAAGTTGTGCCCTATTTTGCGCAAACCCGCAGGCAAGATTGAACACCATGTACATCAGGTTCCCGGCGTGGATCAAAGGGACACGCCCCCACAGCTCACTAAAGGGCGCCAGCAGCAGCGGCCCCAGCGCAAGCATTAGTATATATGCTGACATGGTCAGCGGTCCTTCGATATTTGGATCCATGTCCAGCTCGGCGCATATTCTGTCTAGCGACGGGGCCACGATCGTGGTGGATAGGTTGACCAGCATATTCAAGATGGTGATGAGCACAATGATGGCCCAGCGTCGAGCAATAGGCCATTGGTTTGGGTGAGGATACTCATCGTCGAAGTCAACGACAGCGGTCTGGAGCGATGACTCCTCATCAGAATTCTTTTCAGGGTGAGTACCCGGTGTTGCACTGTAAGATGCGGCGGACTTGTCAGGCGGAGCTTCGCTCATGGTGGTGAATTGGTGAAGCAGGCAATACGATAGAACCAACAGGTAGAAGTTGTATGGAAAATTGAATAAGGAGTAGTCTATGCTGTACTATAAACACACCATTGTCCTGAAGAGCGGAATGCTGTGGGTCGGGGCTTTCTCTGGTATGGACTATTTCCCCCTTGCTGGGAGGGCTTGCGTCTGCAACAACAAGAACCCAGGAAGGAGACCACCTGGGTGGGAAATCTCGTCTTCCAATGAGGCCTGAGGATATGCAAGGGCGATGGAAGTATGGCGTACTCGAAGCCAAGTCGTAGGTCCACGTGAAAGTAAATGCCTTGCGCGTACAGATTTACAGATGCATGCATGTATGACCTTGGATGAGAGAATTGGGATCCGAAAGAATATAATTACATATCATCGTAAATTAATGGCTACACATGGATGCTGAGGTCTAGATGGCTTCGCGCACGCAGACCCTTGCTCTAACTGGACCAATCCACAACGACCTAGAGTCAGCATTATATGCGGCGGGCACACGCTCGCAGCATTTGGGATACAAAAGTTTTCTAAATTAACACACAAATCTCGCGGGCACATACGGCAGGCCTTTCATGTATCGAGCTAAAGTCCTCATGCCGATGGTATCGAACTCTTCATAGAGAACATCATCCAGCATCTGATTACGGACACCGTGCTTCCTATAGATATCCTGTCCGATGGTCTTAAGGGTCTTCTCGGCCGCATTGCCTGACATCGTACTCCGTGTAAAGGACTGTGATAAAGGCGTAACTAGGGCCGCTTCCCCGCAGAGAGAACACGATGAATCCCTACTGGCAACTTCCATCTTCTTCTCTGTGGACTGTTGAAAAAACACCTTGGTCTCTGCCGTGGCGTCCTGGAGTTTATACTCCCCAATGCGCGCACCCTAGATATAAAAGGCCCTCCGATTGGTGCAAGTCCGATCGAGGGTTGTAAGCGTCTGCCTCCTAAACTCTTAGCCTCCCCATTGTGTACTCGATATATCCATCATGGCCCTTTGTGGCGCGAGTCAAATTAAGATTGACGGCCTCCGTCACCCCTTGCAGCAAGCAAACAAGTTCACCAACCGTCCATCCCAGGGGCTAAGTCTGACGTAATTGCGATACTGATGCCTTGAAAGGGCCAGATTGCGTCAGCTTGATTAAACTCTCTGAAAATAGTCAGGGTCCACATCGAGAGAAGATACAATTTTCTTGCTTCCTTACGCGGGGATCGCGAAGGACTCGTTGTTACGGGGAGTGGCTGTTATGGTCGCAGACGGGCCGCAACTCTACGCAAGCCACGCACTCTATTTTCACCGCCGCCTTCCCAGATCCCAATGCATGTACCTACTTCTACACACCCACAAATCCTGTGTTTAAGCCATCTCGAACTCGGTGGTCAAATTTGGCATTCTAAGTACCTTTATCGAAGGCTGAGAACAAGTTCAAGAATTAGGCTCTGTTCATTGGCTCACCATTCTTAGTAGTGAACGGTGCAAAAAAAGAAGTAGAAAAATGACAAATGAAAAATGCAAAAAGCAAGCATGAAATATTATACAAAAAGACAAGGCGATACCTCATTTACCTTCTTCCTACCGTCGTATAGCTGATTGACAGGCATTCTACCCTGCGTAGTCAGGTAGGAAATACCCTTACGCAATGAACCGAATGACCCTAATGGGCTGGTTGGATATGGTGCCGTGATATTGCCCTATTCGAGGGTCGATGCGTGTCTTAGGTAGACTTCTGCCGATCTTTTGGCCCTTCCATACACAGGAGGATAGAAAGGATCCACATATTCCTTAATGCAAGCACCTTTCAGTTGGGCTGTGGCTAACGATCTCTGCCGAGAATGCTACTCCTTGCTGCAAAATTGCGCAACACACTGCGTACACAACACATTCAGAGTAAAGAACGACGCATTCCATGGTCATCTTTTGAAGATCTCGATTTTTCAGAATCTGAACCCGAGGTTGGAAAGTACTTGCGTAAGCCACACCACGCTGCATCTCATCTACCCTGTACGTATATGGGCCATCGTGGCCATTAGTGAGATCAGGCTCCTGATCATACTGCGTAATATTTTGCAATGTAGGATCGTCCCTTACCTATGTTTGGCGACTGGAACTTTCACAATCACATTCTCTCTGGGGTTTAAATGAACCCACGCTGGCTTGACGGAAAACCCCAACAACCGTGAATCTGGACGTTCTTCGTCTGAAAAGCAAGTATTGCTTTTGACTCTTTATCACAATGGGATCAATTGGCCTAGAAGATTCAGGCCCAACGTTAGATTCCTTCCAGGCGGATAGGCCGCGGGACATTGTCGACAGCTTCCTGCAGCAGCATCCGAACATCGACTACATCCGCTTTCAATGGGTCGATTACGCGGGAGTTTTGCGCGCCCGGGTTGCAACCAAGGCTCATTTTGATACAATCGTGAAGAGCAACAAGCCCCTCAGCTGTGGGCAGGTCACCTTCAGCTGCCTTCCGGATGGGAGTAGAGTCCCTTTCGAACCATGTGCCGTACACCTGCTCCACCCAGACTGGAAGTCACTGCGGGTAATATCCACATCCCCAGGTCATGATAGCCCATCGTATGCTTCCGTAATGTGTTCCATCGTCCAGAAGCTGCCTGGTGTGGCACGCGATCCAGACCTATGTCCACGGATCGCCCTGGAGAACATCGTCGCCAAGGCCCATAATCAGCACGGTATCGACTTTCTAATTGGCTTTGAGATCGAATTTGTTGTGCTGCAGGACGGTCCCGACGGCTGCTTGATTCCCTTCTCCTCTCATCCGGGCACCTACTCCGCCGCCGCTCTCCGTGGACCCTCGTACCGTTACTTCGAGGAGTGCATGCGAAACCTCTTGGACTCCGGCATCCAAGTCCGTGAGTTTCACGCGGAAGGGAGTATTGGCCAATACGAGGTAACGCTTGCTGCGCGCCCGCCGCTTGAAGCTATCGATGAGTTGGTCTCCGCGCACGATATCATCCGCACCACGTTTGCCAACCATGGTCTGACCGCTACCATGTCTCCGAAGCCGGTTATGGACCGACAGGCCAACGGCTCTCACATTCATGTCTCCATCCACCCTCCACAGCACGAGGAGGCCTTTCTTGCCGGTCTTCTCTCCCGCCTACCCGCCATCTGTTCCTTGTCCATGCCCTCGATCGCCTCGTATGATCGCCATGCTGACTTTCTTGCCGGTACGGTTGTCGCCTGGGGTTCCCAAAATCGCCAGGTCCCAGTGCGTAAAATGCGCCCTGGGTACTGGGAGATACGCTGCGCAGACGCCATGGCCAATATGTACTTGGCCGTCGCCGGCATCTTAGCCGCTGGACTCCTAGGAAAGCAAAATAATGAACCTTTGCACTGGAACGATGCCAGCTATGCAGGTAATATGCAGGCCAGTTCCGACAAGCTTCCAGCCAATCTAGAACAGTCTCTGAGCCAGCTAGAGCGGGTGTGTGGAGAACTGTCGGAAATGCTAGACAGTCGGATACCTGGGCACTACTTGGATTTCAAACGGCATGAAGTCGGGGCTTTGAAGAATCTAGATGAGCAGCAGTTGCGCCAACTTCTAGCAAGGCTAGTGTAGACAGGTCATATCATTAATAAAGCACAATTAAAGGAAGAAGGCTTGTCAATGAAGTCGAAGAACCCCAATTGTGGAGCATTATCGCTGGCCTTACTATAGGCCCTGTCCGCTTCAAATAGAAACCCTGTTCGCAAAGGAAGAAGTTCAGGCATGAAAGCTTTAGGAGAAAAAACGCTGAATATATATCGACATTAGAACAACACTTATCTATACTGTGAAGCGTTCGTGCTTTCGTGCTAGTTTGAATTATAGATAACAATACGACTGCTCTAAAAGTCCTAGAGATCATCAAGGATTTTACACTGTAAAGAAAGAATATACTCTATTCGATCTATACAATGCGATATGCATATTCGTACAGGATGGGCGTGCAAGTCTGGCCTTGACTTCTTGTATTTTGATATATCTCATACTGGCTAAAGTATGTACCTGGTGTACACTCTTAATGAAAAGAGGTATCTTCTACAACCCTTGTATCTACACACTTCCTTTCCTCACTCGCCGGATGGCATTTGCCGTGGTTCGTAATAATGCACTGAAAATCTGGCTACATGCCTCTCATGGAGCGAAAACAATTGGAGCAGCCCCATATTAATCAGTGCCCCCCAGCTCCAATTGGACTGACCTCTACAAGCTCACTTCACCTAATATAACACTTAGATAAAGGTTGACGATTACAGAAAAGTCCAAGTGGTAATATAGATTATAGTTTAAGTTCAACAGGTGTTACGGCCATATGTACAGGTTCATTCCGAATGGCAAGCCCGGGATAAACTCTTCTTTCCCCCGTTCATACAATTGAGACCATTCGGTAGAACGGGCTCAGTTCTTGGCTTGCTGGCAGACACCCTGGTCGGCCTTCTCGTCTTGCTGTAGTCCACATCAGTTGCTGGTGATTCGAGTTAAGTAGGGGGCTGAACGCTTACCAAGCAGAATCCACCTTCACAGACACCCATGCTACCGTCCTTCTTGCAGGGAGCGCCGATAGGGAGCTAATACATTGTCAGTAGCTTGTTCCAAAATGACATCGCACGCTTGACATACAGTGTTCTGAGCAGGATTGTTACCAGCCTGCTGCTGGGGAGCGGCAATAGCAGCGCTGATAAGAGTGAGAGCGGCGAGGAAGGAGAAACGCATTTTGATGGTGTTGGATTTGGGGCTTTAGAAGAAGTGGCTTGTGGGGTGGATTGGTTGTCTTTCTTGGTTTAGATTGTCTGAACTGTTGAGAAAGCTGTTGATGGAGTGCCTTGGGGCCCTTATATGTCTTTCCACACACTCGATTATATAACAGCTGTTTCTATTTATACCGAGTAAGTTGATCTCCGTACTCCACCATTGTGGATGAGTGCCACGTACGTGAGACTCCAATAGTGTCTGAACAATTGGTGTGATTTTCAGAGCCGTAACTCAATCAGGCATGCGAGGCATGAATGGATGGATCTACGGTCAACACAGGCAATGACATATTTGTTGGTTCTTTCTTCGCTCCCACATCGACTCAGTCATTCTTTCATTTATCTCCATACATTTCAGCATTACTCCATAACGCAAAACATCGTGCATATACAGTGAGCAACGGTAGACAGGAAAGACGATATCGGTATGCTCCCTACCCTTTCGGGCCTCTACGGAAATCTGTATAACCGAGTTTGCCGGCAAGGCGAGTTAGGCCCGAGGGAGAACGTGGGGAAGTTGTGGGTGTCCTTGAGCCTTAGTCTCTCTGATTGGCGCTATTTGGGCCAACAGGGTAATGATATTCTCGGGGGCTCTTGGCGGGTGAAGATCTCGAACCTACCCCTGATGTTCTCCTGCCCTCCGTAAACACTAGAGCTTATAGTCGCGCTCTAGTGTGCGTCAGCCAACCAGAATCTAGGTTGGGGTTGAACCAGGGGGGTATTCGATGTTGCCTTCGCCAAAATATCCCAAGTCGGATACGGGTAGTCAACCAACCTTGGTTGAATGCAGTATAGCAGGTCTACAAGTGATGCTAGTGAAGATAACACTGCATCATATCTATGGTCACGGACCTTACGGAGTCCACGAGCAAGGCACAAAATGCGTACTCCTGCTCAGGAGTAACCCAACCCACAGTGGGGTGACGATCAGCCTTGAGGCTACGAAAACGGTCCTGGAATCAGCCGGCCTGAAGAACCAACGCCAAGGCAATGTAGAGCGCCTAATTAAGTGCGATCTTCTCAGCAATAGGTAGCGCCCTTCGGTAGCTGTTCGCCCATCAAACACTCAATCAAACAAGACACCCCAACGCCTCGACTCCCAGCCCCTTTTGCTCGCAAAAGCCCAAACCTCAATGGCACGCCGCATAGGATAAGTGATGTACATTAACTAGATACAAACACGGTAGGGCGAGTACCCTTGGACCACCAGGTTTTAATTTTCCCAATATTTCTACCTAGACATCGTTTTCTACCCAATAGCTTGACGGCTGATCCACCCTGAGCGATAGGACTCCTTCCACTTACATTTGAAACATTAGTCATATCAGTAAATCAAAGCATGCTTGGCGTAGAAACAAGAATCTCCTTAATCAATATCTCTTCTCACCCCTCCCCATTCTTTCTCTCACTACGAAGTATATTTCTGATAGCTACATTGAAGCGCTGCTAGGACATGCAGAGAATATTGCTTACCAAGCGAGCTTCTCTTAAACATGTTAATTTGGCCACTTCTCTTAATCTATGAAACCATTGAGCGAACCGCCAATCCAGTCACCAATCATATAAAGTGAAGTTCTTTTCCTAGCGTGTGCCAGATGATCCACCTGCCGTCCAGAAATGTTCAAGTGCTAGTAGTTAGACCTTGCACCGAGGCAGACTATCGAGGGGCTAAGGTGCCGAAGATGCAGAAAGATCCTTAGGGCATAATGTTGACAGGCCTGCTACTCCGGATTCTCTCACTCTCACGGGCACATGAAAATGTTGCATAGAACGTGAAGGGCTGGGTTCGCATGGCTAGCGGATCTACTACTAGGCAAAGGATGGTATTGACGAGAACAATATATCACGGCACACGCTGTGTGCGTTCCATGTTAGAGCAGACAGAACACGTTGGTATATTTTATGCCTTAGCCCCGACCAGTGACATGCATAGCCTGCACTATTTCATTTCCTCTGAAAAACTCTCGAGCGGTTCGGTGCAAGAAGTCCACCCGGTAGCGCAGCAAGCCCTCCTCGTTACGTCGACAATGCACCTCCAGTAGTCCTTTGCACATGCTCTTCAGTTGTCTTCGGAGTTGCTCAACTTGCAGTAAGAGGCTTCTGTAAGTGGGAGGTTCATTCCTCTGTGGAGGTACCATATTTTCGTCTTGGATTTCTCTTTCCAGGGACACATAGAGCAACACAGGTAAAGGCTCAGGGGCACTCGATGCAACGTTGAATATATGCGAAACATAAGAAGTATATATCGGATCGACTGATTCAAGCATGGATTTGAACAGCAGTTCAAGGTCGACAGGGATCATCCTAAGCTTCTTCTGCAAGAAGAAAAGGGTATCCCCAGTAGTCAACCATTCGTCGAAGGAGCGCACGACCAGAACCGCCCAGAGAAATACACCCTGAGCCCGATCGGCAATTTCACCCACAATTTCATGGGTCTGCGGATTGAGTTCAAGAAGTAGTCCCCAGGCCGGATGTTGTTCGAGTTCACTCTGAACGTAATCGTGGATATCGTCGCGGTTGTGCCATTCCAAGTACAACTTCTGGTCGGCCGATGCTCCATATGCGTCTTCAAATATCTTCCATTGCCGGCTGGAGAGACACATTTTGATGTTCGAGTGAACGAGAGAGTTCAAAAGTTCGATCAACTCGGAATGCTCTCCTGTGCATTCGTCCAGACCGTCGATGAAAAAACAAAATTTGGTTGGGATAGCGTTTTGACTACATAAAGATTTGAAGGTCTCTAATAGTTCCTCCATACACCACGGGCTGTCGCCGTGTTCGCCCGACATGGTCGCTTCCCACCTTCGCGGACATACGATAGGAATCAGGTCCGGACTGTGGGTGAATATACCGTAGAGGAGAGACTGGAGCAAGCCAATTTTAGATTTCTGCATGCTGTTTCCTGCACTCCAGAAGAAATGGCTGGCAATAACCAGCTTCTCACTTCCAGCCCATGATCTGAGGCTTTCCAGGGTCTGGGGGTGAGCGAGTAGATATTTCATAAAAGTTGACTTTCCTGACGCTGGCTTCCCAGAGACCCAATATATGCTGCCATTTTCTCCCTGTAGCCATGGAAGGGTTGTTGGTTTAGGGAAATGATCGGTTTCCACGTCTATATTTCTTGGAAAGACCCACATAAAGCTCTTCTCATGGGCTCTCGCGATTCCCGCATGGTGGTCCCTGATTGATCGAAAGTGGAGTGTCCTGAGGAATCTCTGTACAAAGGCGACTTTTGATGCTTTTTGCACAACATGTGCCATTCTACAGGCCATGGAACTGAGCTGGTTTGGATTGAAGGGGTTCGTCACGCCAGGTAGCACATCTCCTATGTACTCCTCAGCCGCTTGATGCTGTACGTCACGGAGGGTTTCTAAGATATCCGCAAGCCATCTCGTTTGACTCATCTCTATTTGTCGATTCTGGTTCTTTAGGCGTTGTACGTCTTGTAAGATACTAGATTGTCCATCTCTGATAGGCTTAAATTAGCTCCGGCGTTTGGGTTATAGCACGTTTCTATATACCTTAGAACAATCGTGAGAACTCGCATCGCTTCCCTTCTACACACCAGTAACCCTTCCTCTAGAGCTTTAACCTGTTTCTCGTCCCAGACCCCTCGCAGTGCCTCATGGAAAGACCCAAAGATACTTGAAGAGCTAGAATGAGATCTTAGCTGGTTAGCTGCGATTAGTAATTCTTCACATATTCCCAGACAACAATGCGCCAGGCTCTGAAGCTCAAAATCTCCGTATGATATGGATTCATCGGTGGACCGTTCTGGAGTAAGTCTAATTGTCAAGCCGCCGCTGAGTTGTTGTAGTGTGTCGTAGATGTGGCTAAGATTGGTATATTCCACAGGTCGGCCATCGACCGCCTGATCTAATTCCCTAGGCAGAGACAATAGCGCAGAGCTAAAGCCAAGGGTTTGTAGGGTGTTTCCACACAGACGAAGTGCAGGAACCGGATCAAGTATAGTCCTTGCTGAACTGATTCTCTCTGAGTTTAACATAACTGGCAATCTTAACATGTACTTGGATTCTCTTTCGAGGAATGGCTCCCGTAGTTAGACGGCTCATTCAAAAGGATAGAATGAAGAAATGCCTACCCAAGGTTGTCAATGCTGACAGCAGAATTACGTCTGGCCATACTACTATGCTGACGCTGTGAATGGCCCCCAATATATATTTATAGAACATCCCGGGTTAGCTGGACACACGGTTAGCGAGGCGGATTAACGGGTGCCTACGTATCAGATTTAACTAATATATGTGGTCCAAGCACTGCGCGCCGTTTACGTGGCTGCCTGTTTATCGCGTTTTGGCCCCTTCTGCGGGCAAAAGCTTTGAGATACGCTCACACTCTCGCTTAGATCCAGATATATATAATTTGTAACATGGTGCAAGTAACGTAACTGATAAGCGAGCGGGCCAGAGAATCGGGCGGGCCACCACGCGTCATTTCTACGCGTCTGTTTTTTTGAAGCTATTCAACCACCAGCCATACCACCAAAAATGCCTAAATCATCAAAAGATAAGGTGGAACAAGAGGAAAGAGTCTTATTAGCTATATCAGCTATTAAAAATAATGAAATCAACAATATTCGTGAAGCCGCGCGCGTTTTTAATATACCCCGTACAACATTACAAAGACGCCTAGCAGGGTATACATTTCGATCAGATTTACGCGCAAATAGTCATAAATTGACTACTAGTGAAGAGGAATCGCTTAAGAAGTGGATTCTATCATTAGATCTACGTGGAATGCCTCCTTGATCTATATACGTAGAAGAAATAGCCAATATTCTACTTTCAAAGCGTGATACTACATCTCCCCCTACTACTGTAGAGGTAAAATGGATATCTAACTTTACCAAGCGTACGCCTGAGCTTAAGACCTGCTTTGCACATCAATATAACTATCAACGTGCCAAAACAGAAGATCCAAAGATTTTAAATACCTAGTTTCAGCAGATAAATAAGACTATTCAAAAATACGGTATAGCCTTATCCAATATCTATAATTTCGATAAAACCGGGTTTACAATAGGCCTAATCACTATTACTAAAGTAATTACTAGGTCTAATACACTAGGCAAGCCATTTTTATTGCAACCAGATAACCGGGAATGGGTCACTTCTATAAAATATATTAGTTCTAATAGATGGGCTCTACCTCCTTGCATCATATTTAAAGGTAAAGTACATATAAAGGCCTGGTATAAGAATCGAAAGGTTCCACCTAATTAGAGGATCGAGGTCAGTCCTAATAGCTAAACGAGTAATAAAATAGGTCTATATTGATTATAGAGTCATTTTATACCGGCTACTACAAGCCAATTTATCGGACAATATCGATTACTTATTTTAAACGGCCACGATAGTTATCTAACGCCTCGATTTGATTAGATATACTTGGAAAACGATATTATACCAATCTATATACCTACGCACGCTTCTCATAGATTTTAACCACTTAATATTGCTATTTTCTCACCTTTAAAACGCGCGTACAGTGGCCTTGTTGAATCTAAAATACACTGCGGGCTTCATTATATCGATAAACTTGACTTTTTAAACACCTATCCGGAAGCTCATACACAGGCGTTTATCAAAAGCAATATTTATAGTACTTTTAAAGCTACCAGTCTAGTTCCTTTAAATCCTAAATCAATTCTATCTCAGCTAGCAGTTCAACTCAATACGCCTACACCTCCGGGTAGTAGACCAAGCAGCCGAGACAGTTCAGCGCCTAAAATACCTCATACAGTTAAGCAATTGAAAAAGTCAGAATCTACGTTTAAAAGATTACTTAAAAATCGGTCTCGCAGTCCCGATTCATCTACTAAGATCTACTTAAATTAAATAATTAAAGGCGCTGAACGAGCTATAAATAATATAATACTATTTAAGTATTAGCTTGAGCGATATAAGACTTTATATAAAAAGTAGCTTAAAAAGCGAAAGCGCTCTACTAAGCAGATTACTTTTAAAGGGGGTACGTCAGTATCTAACACCCGAATCTATATAGAGCGCAGAGCTCAGGTAGATAAAGCTATTCAAGCAGAGGGAATTCAACCTGCTGAATCGGGGACTAGGCACGCACCCCCTAGATATTCTGGCTGTAATATACAGGGCCATAAAATTATAAACTGCCCGAATCGATAGAACTATTCATTTTTCTATATAAATACAAATTGATGATATTTTGACCAATTTCAATTTCAATATAGCGGCGTGGTGGCCCGCCCGATTCTCTGGCCCGCTCGCTTATCAGTTACGTTAACGTGCCTTGAATAACAATGATACCACATTTACTAGGAATAATAGATCCGCAGTTACTGTATAAAACTAGTAAATATTTGGTACGAATAGTAATGTACAAAGTTTAGCATTTATGTCACGAAGAGCCAACTCCAACCGAAGCTCCGTTGTTCAAACATGTATCATACAGTGATGGGGTAATCTAATTGCGAAGAAATTGAAATAAAAAGTACACTGGTAGTGGTTCATTCTCGTATGTTTTCATATCTACCATAAGGTCGTCAGCATATCCACCAACCGCCTCATCGTCCCGTTCCTCGTTGCCTTCCAAAAGGCCATGGCTTGGGACAACAGACAATCTCGGTGTGCGTCGTCTGTTGTATAGGTTCCCAGGACGACCATGGGCCAGCAGTAATACTCGGCATAATAGTCTGTGGACGGGTCGAGCTTGCTGACCAAACTCATCCCTTCACAGACCAACTCCTGAAGAGAGCTGTCAGCTGTGGCCGAGTTGCTATTGATCATGTGCTCCAAAAGTATCTTGGAAACAACAATATATAGTCTTGGGCCTAGCAGAAGCGGTGTATGTGTAGTTGCGGCCAGCCAATCGCTCTCGGGCGAGGGCTGCGGCTGATCAACCCCACAATGACTGAAGTGGCTTAATAGCTGTTGGAGCTCATGGCATCTTGCGATATCGATGCCTTCCGCAGAGGATCGCTCATGCATTAGCGCGATCTCCCGCGCATATACAAACAGCTTCGGCGGCGCCCGAGCACCGGCGACTCGGGGTACACCGGTACTTTCCATTTGTACATTTCTTGGAGTTTAGTTTCAGCCAGGGAAAGGGCGGCTTCGACAGGCTCGGGCGGCTTAATCGTTTGTTGAAACGGGATGCTCGTTGTCGCATGGAATATGAAGGCTTCTAGTATTACACGAGACATGTTGGTCTCCCTTTCGGATTGCAGCATGGGAGTTGTTTGGTCATCTTGAAAGCGTAACTGTATCAATTGCGCGAGGCCCAGTATATGGGCATCCACGCCCCTTGAGAGCCGAGGTTTGGATCTCTAGTACTGGTTGTTAGAAATGCTCGATGCATTCTCGATATATAAGCTCACCTCATAGATACACAACATCATGGATGTTCGAATGATTGCTGTGTTCGCAGCATCAAACATACCACTGTCGAGGCTTTCGCGTAGTCCTGATATCGCTTTGACGTAATGCATGCTGGCCAGCTTCTGGAAATGGACCTGTGAGTAAATGTCGTCCACCGGTATTTCTGCGCCACAGCATGCGAGAAGGGAATGCATGTAGAAGGGGGTACGTAAGGCCAACATCAATGAATCATCGGCGGCAGATCTGATGACAGTATCAAGGGCCATTGGTCGGATTAACTGCGGTAGAAACACAGCCCTTAGGAATTCAAACAATGGCGCGCTGTCGGGAGTTATGGCGGGTGATAGACAGAACAATGGGGAGATATAATTGAGGATCGAGGAAGGGCTGCTTTGGGTAGTCATCGTATAGTCATTTTGGCTACTTGGGGTATCAGTGTTGGTGGGAGAAAGAAGCACATCGCTTCCTCCTTCAGTATCCCAAGAGGGAGACGCGCTGGCTGCATTGTCTGCCTCGAGTCCATGCTGTTTAACATGCCACTCATTGATAGAAGGTTGAGGGGAATGCTCTGAACGGGCTTTGCTGGCCGACCGGTGTTCAGATCTGGTCTGTTTTGGATTGCCACATAGGTCCGCAGGCCATTCACAGGAAAGCCATCGTCGGGCGCAATTCGAGCATGTCCCGGGAGTCTCGTCGCACTTCTTCTTCCTCTTCCTGCCTATAAGGGCTCGTTAGTCGAACGTTGAAAAACTTCCAGCAGAGATTGCGGAGTGGGGTGACCCACATGTGAGACAGCCAGTCTTCGTGCGGAGATGCGCCGGCCTTCGACGGGGTGGACGGTAGTTTTTCGTTCGGGGTGTCATTTCCGGCAAACTTGAATCAACTCCCCAATCTAGTAGGGCCAGCTCTTCTGCCGCGGTACCATACCGGTTGAGTTGGGGCGTATCATGCGCACAATCGGGAAGGTATCCCCTAATAGATGCCTAATGCCCTGATCTTCGTGGTTACAAGGCACTAGATACCTCCTGTGACGACCTATCTACTTGGCAATCGTACTGCCGATAAAGCCCTGGCCAGTGGAATGGCTATTCTTAGCACTTGGCCCGATAGGGAATGTGTACCCTATGGCCGCCAGGGTCCGTATAGCTGCAACACTAATTCACGCGGCTGAGATAGCTGCGACGGCGATGTGTTGAAATTGATATCAGGACCCCAACAGGCAGACGTCAAGGGCTACCGTCGGTTATCCGCTATCTGATAAGGCGTCAGCATTGTGATTCAATGACACACTATCACCCACTGGTTATCTCTGGTGTGGGGAAATCTTAGACTGTGGGGTTGGGCGTACCCTCGAAGAGATTTTGCGGGGTGTACGTCAGGGATCCGGCCAGCAGTTCGTGTATCAAGTGTGTTAACAAGGGGGGATGACCGGTGCTAGGAGTTTCAACAAGGCCAGGAGGTGCTGTTCAGGATGCAACGAGGGTTGAGTCTTTTGCCTCCGCCACGAAGACGGGCCATGTCCGGGGGCTTCCCATTGGTGAATTCGACCGAGCGGACCCATAATTTGGACAGACACAGCCAATGGCATCACTTTGCGCGATTCTCGCCCAATTGGGTCACGGGGTGGATATCAAACTCTCCAACAAGCAAAAACCATTTCGTCGCTTCCACGCCACGTTCTTTGGTCAAGGCTTGTCCCTTAGTAGATAGTCTATCCGAATCTCTGGAATCGGATATTGCATTAATTCATGTAGTCTAGTAGTCGTGCCTCCCCTCCCCTACAAAGATAATTCATCGTATATATCACCACTGCCTCGTGTATAGTCTACTTGCGATCAACTTGGCATTTGACGATACCTTCGTGTAGACATAGAAACTACTGCCTCGGCGAATGTTTTCAAAGACTCCCACCTCTTGGATAACTGGCTTTACAGTGTCAACATTGATATTTCCTTTCATCGTCCATCTTTGAAACCATTGAAATCTTGCCAACCCTAGCTGGTGATTGCGAGCCTCGATGACCGAGTCATCTGGGATACAACGAGACAATGTGGAAAGGCCACGGACGCCACCGGGGACGGTTTATTTCGGAGAGGGTAGATATCCCGCATCGTTCTATCGCAATATTCGCACTCCGGGGCAAACACTGACGGTCTCAAGGACCCATCGATCTTGACGGCGTCGAAGAAGATTCCGACGGCCATGTTATACTCCAGCCACATCCATCGAGTGATCCAAATGAGCCATTGGTACGTTTTCAGTCGCGAAACTGCCTTCCTCGCCACCCAGAATAGCCTGTTTGAGTATGAGCTGACGAGAAGTTTGGGTAGAACTGGCCCACTTACCAAAAGGCCATCAACTTTGGGATTACTTGCCTTTTCACCTTGATGGTGTTTACCACGTACGAGTCTATTTCCTAATTAAAAGCCCACACAGTATGCTGACACACCGCTAGACTGGACGTCGGAACAGTGACCTGGCCTGCCCTGATGGAAGATCTCGGTTATGGAGAAGAGTATCTTAATAACAGCTATGCGTCTGGATTGGCAGGCATGGCTATTGGGTGCATCTTCTTCATTCCTGCGGCGGACCTACTCGGGCGGAAGCCTGTATACATGTTTGCTTCCTTTGCCCTGGTCCTGTCGAATATAGGTTCAGCGGTGTTCCAAACCCGCGTCCAGTATATCGTGCTACAGGCGATAGCGGGGCTCGCAGGCTCAATCAACGACACGATCATTCAGATGACTGTAAGTACAGCTGGCCTTGTCAAAGAACCTATTCCTAGTTCCGAGCTTATGCGATATGAGATAACAGATCGTGGATCTTTTTTTTGTGCACCAGCGTGCAACAATGAATGGTATATATTCCACATGTGTGGTGGTTGGTGTAAGGCTCTATTGCTCCAAAACCACTTTATCTCTGAACTAAACTCGTTGTTTCTAGACATATCTGAGCCTCATTCCCACCGGATATATTATCAATAGCCAGGGATGGCGTTGGGTATGGTGGTGGTGCGCCATTCTTAACGGACTGGTACTACTCTTGATCATTTTCGCGTACGAAGAGACTCGGTATGGGAGGCCCGCAGGAAACTGCTATGTTGGCCAAGACCCCCCAGGGGCACTGGGGGCAGAAGAGAAGCAGATTACAGCCTCTGAATTCGACAAAGAAAAGCCGATGCCAACCCATTGTGATACAGTCCCACCGTCGCCTGTGGAGGAGCCTATCCCGCCCCGGAAGACGTATTTTGAAAGAATGACTCACTTTGAGCCTTCTGACGATATCACCTTCAAAAGGTACTGGCGGCATATGTGGACTCCATTTGTCCTAATTTTCCGCATCCCAGCAGTGGCATTTGTGGGTCTTCAATATTCCTTCATGATGGTCTGGGTGGCCATCCTAGCCACAACACAACCTCTCTTGTTTGCGGAACCCCCATATAATTTTACATCAGTGGGCATCGGCAATATTAACATTGCGCCCTTTGTCGGTGCAGTTATCGGGTCCATATATGGCGGTCCTCTCAATGACTACTATGTCGTGTACATGGCCCGGCGCCGAGGTGGAATCTATGACCCGGAACTCAGATTGCACATGCTCCTTGCGCCCATGATCATCTTACCTCTAGGTCTCTTCCTTTACGGCATCAGCATTGCCAATGTACGTTGCACTACTCCCCGAGTGAGAATCGGAATCCCTCGCTAACAGAAAGCTTCACTAGGGACAACCGTGGATTGTCCCCTTAATTGGATCCTCATTTGTCGGCTTTGGTATCGGATCGGTAACATCGATCGTTCTCCCGTACTATGGAGATTCCTATTGTGAGGTATGCTTGATCTGTGCCTCCTGGCGCTCTTTTCCGCTGGTCTTGCAACATCGTGGTGGCTGATTATCTCCTAGCTTGTCGCTGAAGGCCTCGTCGTCATCACAGTCGTCCGCAACGCAATCTCGACGGGTGTCTCGTTCGCTATCAATCCGTGGATGAACGGACTTGGTGTGCAGAATATGTTTATCAGTGCTGGATGCGTGTGTTTTGGCATTATGCTCTTTATCATTCCCATGATAATCTGGGGTAAGAAGACGCGTATCAGCACCGCTGACTATTACTTGAGTGCCGTGGCTGCCGGTTAGGGTCTGTATCGACCGGGCTCTGCAGTGCACACGAGATTGTTGAAGGGGATGGTGGGGATAGGGGATGGTGATGGAGAAGGTGATAATTTGTAGAGACAGTGTAATTAGACTGGAGGGGAGTTAGATAAAATTGAACTAGATCGCCAGAAATCATTCCTGGTCACGAGACCTGTGTCTACCGTATATCGCATCTTAGAATTATAAATACCTGTTCCATTACTTCCCCGCCACTCTCCTGATTCCTTCCTCCACAGCCCATACCAAGTGTATCGAATCCCACCTGCCAAGCCGATCTGGATGTGGAGAATCTTCGGCCGCGTAGGCCAATGGCGTCACTTTGCGCAGGGCCATCTTCACTTGGACCCTCATGCGACTACGACAAGGCATATAAGTCGACATTCCGCCCGCTGTATATCACCAACCCCGGGGGCAATCTCTTGTTCACTTCAATATAACTATCATAGCCGGTCTAGTATACATACGCGAAAAACCGACATGGCGTCTACTACAATTTTTGCCAACGGGCGCATCTTCACACCGAGCACCGGCGCAGAAGGATATGACTTCCAACAAACCATGATCATCAGCGGGGACCGCATCCAATATGTCGGATCCCCAAACCACGACGCGATTCAGCAAGCGAAAGACTCCGGTGCCCATGAGGTAGACCTGCAAAACAAGATCGTGGTCCCAAGTTTCATCGATAGCCACATGCATATTGTCGACTTTTCGCTGTCATGCCGCAAGCTAAGCCTTCTCTCGTGTAAATCGTTGGAGGAGATTCGGCAGGCGATCAAGGCTTTTGCGGAGGCGAATCCAAAGGAGCCTCGGATTATGTGCAAAAGCTGGGTTCAGTCGACCACAGGGGGAGAGGCGCTCGCAAGTATGTTGGACGACCTGGATCCGCGCCCGATCTACATCCATGCCAACGATATGCATTCGGGATGGTGTAATACTGCCGCCTTGGAGGAGTTAGGGGTCGCCACTATGGCTGATCCTCCCGGTGGAACGATTCATCGGGATGCGAATGGGAAGCCGTCGGGTTTGTTGAGTGAGATGGCTCACTTGGGTATCGTTCCGCAGTTCCTGGTAAGGGCTACCCCGCTGAAGGATAAGCTGGATGCGATGGACGATGCGTTGGCAGAGTACACTGCGGCTGGGTACTCGGGAATGATTGACATGGGTATGGACGATCTTGAATGGGACGTGCTGAAGGCGTGGCGGGAGCGACACGGGGAGAAGTTTCCGTTTCATATTGCGGCGCACTGGGTGATTCCACCTAATGACAACCTGGACGTGGTGTTTGGTGAACTTGATCGGGCGATCGCCCTCCATCGTGAATATAATCCGGCGACATCTCCCGACTTTTGCATTGCAGGGATTAAACTGATGTGCGATGGCGTCGTTGACAGCTGTACTGCAGCTCTGACAGACCCGTACCAGGGATGCGAGAATCCGGTGGATCCGATCTGGCCCGAGGACGCTCTGCAAGCTGTTGTGAAGAAGGCAGATGCGGCTGGACTGCAGATCGCTATTCACGCCATTGGCGACAAGGCCGTCAAGAATGCCATCGATGCACTATCTCTCGCACAGCCTGGGCATCGTCATCGCATTGAACATCTCGAACTCACCTCGCCGGAGGACGCGAAACGCCTGGGTCAGCTTGGAATCACGGCGTCGGTTCAACCTGTCCACTCGGACCCGGCTCTGTTCCGTGCCTGGCCGGAGCTTATTGGAGAGCATCGCTGTAGCCGTGCATTTGCCTACCGCGAATTCCTTGAGGGCGGCGCCCCAGTGGCATTTGGCACAGATTCACCCACTGCACCCCATTCTGCCCTGCCAAACTTGTATAATGCTACCACCAGGAGATCCGCCCTTGAGCCCGAGTGTACGGAAACGGTCAATTCTCACTTTGGATTGCCTCTGGCTGCCGCTGTAACTGCCGCCACAACTGGGGCGGCCTATTCCCGTTGGGCGGATTTGTGGACGGGGTCCTTGAAGGCTGGTTTGAGAGCGGACTTTGTGGTTTTGGAAACGGACTGGAAGGCAGAGAATCTACTCAAGGCAAGCGTACAGCAAACTTGGGCTCGAGGTCGGAAGACCTTCGATGCCAGTACGAATGGTGCACAAGTATAAAGAATATCTCATAAAGCGATGATTTCTATTCTATGCTTGTTGAAATAGAACATAATGAGAAATGAAGCAAACACTCATATCCTTCCTCGCATCATACGGTGCGCGAAGGGCATCACTCTTCTTCCTAATTCGTATATGTAGCTGTATAGAAGAAAAACAAGGAATTCCCTAGCTTTGTGTCAACATAACCCTAACAGATATCATCCGTCGTGTGTATTTACCTACGAGTTGGCTTTAGACCATCCGGCCCGAATGGACATTCGACCCATCCCGGCCCCGTTTCTCCGGTGTTTGTGAATTCCTCATGACTGGGCGTGGCCGTTGCTCATGTGCGTATTGCCCAGAGGCTGACTCCTTCTTGCCTTTGCGTGATTTGAGCATCAGAAGTGGTAGCAGAAGACACATGATGAGTGGATAGTTTTTTCTGTTTCGCACGGGACGTCGAGGAAAGGGAAATAGGAACGATAGATATCTGAGTACGATTTCCAGCGAAAATTTGGTATTGAACTGAGTGAAAAGTGTAGCTCTTTTCTATAATTTCTCCGACTACCATCTATTGCATAGTACTTATACCTCTTGAGGCGGACTCCCTAGACTGTTGCAAAGAACGAAAATAACCTCAACGTGGCTTGAATGACAGCCATTCGAGAACTCATTGGTGTACGCTTTGGGTAACCACTTCGGTACCTTTCATAAATGATATGGCTTGACTTGGCCTTGCGCAGATCCACGTTGTACACGCATTGACAGGCTTAGCAGAAGTTTATAGACTCTACAATCCTATACCCTATCATTATAATCGGTCAGTGGGTCCATAACTTCCAAATCTAGTAACTAATTCGGTGTGGCATCCCACCGCATCAGCTACTCCGTACTACTGATGCACCTCAATATATTGAGGGGCTGCCTGGAATCGTTTCAAAGCACCCACCTTTGCTCATGCTTTCGGTTTGGAACCATCAGCAATTCTTCTCTAGGCGTCATTTTATTCAGTAGGAGGATGCTCAGAGCCCCTGATTACATCAGAGAGATTATGTTTCGGTTTCCTAGCTAATGTGGAGGATTGTATGAGTAGGTTCATCTATTCAAGCAGTACGAGGTAGACGGTGGTTGATTGTGTATGCTCCATGGTGAAGCTATAGTCCCATATAACTTTCTACTATTATTTCTGACATTATATCATAACTAAAGGAGCCAGTCTAGGAAATAATCAAGATAGGAACGGGTGTCAGGAAACCTCGAGCATTAATTCCATACAGATCTCTGCATTAATGTCGCCGATGTATGGCGCATTGCAGCTTTTAGGCAGACATTGACCCGGACCCATACTTCTCTGCCGCTTGGTTATGCCTTCGGATATTCCTACTCCAGAGCCCCGCGAAAATCATCGACAACGCAGCAAGGACTTCGGGGAGAAAGACGAGGACTACACGAACAGCGATAGATCCAAACACGGGACTCAGGTCTTGCCTCTGGGTACAAACGGCAACCAGATTATAGAGAACGCGAACACCGGTGAAGACGATAGCAGCAAGGGCCCCATACATAAGCTAGGAAATCGACAGGCGTTAGTGCTCATGAAACATCATTCATTCGTTCGCGGGGTTATATACCTTGGTACCATCTTTATACCCCGGAGCATACTTGTTGCATTGAGATGGAAGAAGGGAGAAGAGTGCCCACATCACTTCCATCGCCCAGACAGCGACAACTAAACCCGTTCCCACCTTCCAGTGCGAAAGGTCCTCAGGCGTCCCTTCACCCTGGTAGATCTGCAATGATCCGCCAATGCTAAGGCCGAGACCAGCGCCCATGAGACCAGTGATCGTGATTATCACTATCCAACAGAGGCGCACATTGTGTTCCGGGTGACGGTAATACCGACTATTAACAGCCGAGTGTGTTAGGAGCTTTGCTACCCAGGGAGACGATCTAAACGTACGCTTCATATAGAAGTCCATCGATAGCCAATAACAGTGGGGATATTCCTATCCCGGAGATGATGTTCGCCGCGATGCTAGAACTGTCGTTCACTCCTATGGCACCCCCGATTACCCGCACAGTACAGAAGATGAGAAGGTTGGTCCAAGGAAGCCAGCCGATCCATCCATGGGACCAGTAAACATACAGCACAAAAGGAACTAGGAAGAGGTAAACTGCAAGATCAGCTGGAAATATCCCGTTCATCTTGGTCGCAGAATCGGTCCGGTCGCTCGTGTTTATGGGGAGCAAATATAACGTGTCAATGGGATGGACTGAATATAGCAGCAACTCCTAGTGGAGCGATTGAATGGAATAGACAATGCAAGGAATTATGAAAATACGATAGGGCCGTCTAAGGTGGGCAGAGGGTGTAAAGGTATTTATCTACACCACTTGTACGGCTCTGGTCAACTTAGGGCTCTACTTGACTTTCCGCATTGGGGATATAGCTCGTCGCAGTGGCTCAGTAGAACGGGTCGAACAAATATGAGATAAATTAAAGAAAAAAAAGTCGAAAGCAAATAGACAAGAGACGAAAAGCCTATCAGCAGCCAATAGTACATACCCCACAGCTGTAGTTCGAATTGGTGAAAAATAATTTAGTATCTCTCTTTCTTGGGGCTATTCGGTGGGCTGGCAATCTAATGCGAGTGAGCCCAACACCGACGCTGATAGGCGTCATTCTGAATCTCTCGACAAATTCCGGACGTTCTAGGCTAGCCGGAACGTCAAGAAACAATGCTTCTATGGGCAATCGCTTCGGAGCAGGCTTGAGGCTTAGCACTGAAGATGTGGGGATAGAAACCTCATTCGCTCACAAACAGGCAGCAGAATGCTTATTTCTGACAAGGCTGGACCTCACTAAACCCAAATGAGCATACTATTCGGAAGGACTGAAGTGCACAGCCTCTTGCCGAGCTCGCAGCCTAAGCATTTGGCGCTCATTCTTGGCAGGTTAAAAAAGAGCGAAAGTCTCGTTTCTTTCCGACCCCACTACTTTGGTCCGATCTTACTCATTCGGGTATCCAACTCGTAACCCCATCAGATTCTCTAAGTATACAGCTCAATGGTTTATCGAGGAAAGCCCAGTCCTGCCTGTGAGCCCTGTCGGACTCGACGCCTCAAAGTACGTGGCATGTCAATCTATATTAGTCCGATCTGCGGGTGTAACTAAGTCTATGTGTAGTGCGATCAGCGGAGACCGTCCTGCTCTCAGTGCATCCGCGCTCATCGAGAATGCTCAGGGTATCGCGACGTAGCGACCCTCAGCTTTCACGATCAGAGTCAAGAAGTAATAGGAAAGGCCCGTCGCCAGCAGAATACCAAGCGTCGACGAAAGCATTGTCATGCTCGAGGCGACCAAGTCCTTCCATGGTCAATGGTCACCGACAGTCATCGCCTACAATATTACCGTCCCTCACCTTCTCAGTGAATGACCAAGCATCGGGTTTTATCTTTTCCCATTATGTCCGAAATGCGAAGCACACTCGAGGTCATCTTGACTTCCTTTCAACCCTTGTTCGAACAGATACTAGTCCCGCGGTCACAGCCTGCATCAGCGCCCTAGGGCTCGCATCCCTGGCTAATATCCATATGTCGCCCGAGTTAATGTCAGCTGCACGGCATGAATATAGTGCGGCACTGTCAGCGACTAGTGTAGCCCTACGCGATCCGGAATGTGCCCGGTCCGATTCGACCTTAGCAGCAGTTGAGCTCTTGTCGCTGTATGAGGTGGGCAACTAATGCAAACACCATGTCGCATGGCTAATCTTAGGCTAATAAGCATAATAGATCGTGACGTGCGAGGGCCCACCTTTAATAGGGCGCTGGTTGAACCATATAGAAGGGGGTGTGAAACTAATTGAGCTTCGCGGATTCGAGCAAATAGACCATCAAGCGGGCTTGGAGCTGTTCACTCAGATCCGGGTGCAAATTGTATGTCATGCACACTTCGACGGAAACCGCAATAGGCTGACTATATATTACAACAGGCACTGGGAAATTTATACAAGAAGCAACGCACTCCGTCATGGCTGCTGGACTTGTCCAAAGAGGCTCTAAAGCGCCGCGGCGATACTGGGGACCAAGTCCTTGACTACTTCTTCCGAATACTGGTGGAAGTCGGTGATCTGGTTGCAGATATCAATGAGAATGCATACGCCCATCCGGCTGAAGTTCTTCAGAAAGCTCTCAACCTTGATTCAGGGCTGATAACGTGGGCGATGAGCATCGATGCGAGATGGAAATATACTGTCGTTAAGGTGAAAAAGTTCGAAGATGAAAATAATACTCTCCGCCCTGTATACGGTGATCATTATCACGTCTACCCCAATATCACAGTGAGCATGGCTTGGAACCATTATCGGTTCATTCGCATCATTCTTCACGGCATCATTGGATACATTTCCGCCAATTACTTTCAGGAATCTGGAAACGGATCATTCGGGCAAAACGAGAGGCAGAGCACCGCAATCTCGCAGCAGTTAGCCGAGGATATATGTGCCAGCGTGCCGTATCATCTGGGCATGACCGGTTCATCCGATGGATCAACCTTGGGTATTCCCTTCGCAGGCGGTGTTCTTCGGTTAATGTGGCCGCTTTTTATTGCATCCGATGCCACAGGAGTGTCGCCGAACATGCAGGCGTGGATTGCGCAGTGTCTGGATAAAATTGGGCATGGCGTGGGAATCAATATGGCGGTTACAATGTCCCAGATCCTTCGAGCTGATATGCACCTTAACTGGCTGGAGGAAGAAGAAACCAATATCGTGAAACGACCATATCTTGTACGTAACGAATATTACCCACCTGACACATAATGTGGATTGATACTTCTGTTTGTGATAATCATAACCAAGGATATAACACTTGTGTTGTAGCATACTTTCATGTTGCTTTGTTAAGGATAGCCCTCAACGCCTCTACTTCACCATCACTGACCAGTTCCACCGAGGATTGAGCAAGGGCTGCAGAATGGAATGCGGGAGCACGCGTTTTCTCCCATAACATTCCAACATTGGTGGCTCTAACTCCTCCGCCTACAATGATCTGAGGTAACCGGCCATGACCCTTCACACGTCCCCTTAACCGCTCGAGTCTTTCATGTACCAGATGGTTTAGTTGAGAGACACATTCAATCGCTGTCGCACCGGATGGGCCACTCGTCAGGATAGAAGTAAACCCGCACTCCACGATATCTGTCAGGGCAGTATCCCAGTTCGATTCCGATATCTGGTCAAATGCGCGATGAAAAGTACATGGCCTACCTTGCGCAAGGTCAACCAGTTCTCTGTTCCTCCCTACGTCAATCCGAGGAACGGCCTCCTCTGGTGCAGTCTGAGTCAAAATACCGAACACAAATCCATCGGCACCATGCTCCAAGAACGAATGCATGGTACGCTTCATGACTTCAAAGTCTGTGTCGCTGTAATAGAAGCTCTGCGCATGTGGTCGGATCATCACATAGATAGGAATGGAGATCTGCGATTTCAATATTGCCACGGTCTCGGGCTCAGGTGACAGGCCACCTGATGCATAATCTCGGCATAGCCTTGATGGTATTAGTGTTTAGTTTTAAACAAATTATGCGCAAGCATTGAGTATGTTAGTTCAACTGCCTAGAGGCAGAGACAGTCCTGAACTGACGATTTCATGGCTAAACAGAGGTGACTCACTCAATTCGATCAGCTCCAGCTCTGGCAGCAATTATAGCCGACTCTTTATTGAAGCAGGCAATCTCTAACAGTGGTCGATGGGCATTCTTGTTTGATCCTTTGTGGCTCGAGTCGCGCGACGCCGAGCTTGGCTGAATTTGCTCCATGTTCTCTATCCAGTATCAGTGACCATTGAATTTCTGTGCTTACTTCACCTGTATGTGGTGAAAACCGTACCCGTGTGTATGTCACTTGCGTTTTACTTTCAATATCCTCGGTTGAATATCTGCTCCAAGCAGGACCAAGCGAACTCGAACTCAAAGTGACTTTGAGTGTTGCCTTGGTGCCTCGGGCAAGAACGCTTCTACGCCATTCCTCTTCAGGCACCTGAGGATGAAGGTTGTTCCGTTCCGCTGACATTGGATATTGACAGACTTGGAGATACATTTATGCACATTCTCCCTGTCGTCAGACTCGAGCAATGAGATGGCTGTGGATACCTGGATCAGAACCAATTCTGCTACCTACTACGCATTGCAAAAGGCCCCATTTACTACTCTTGGAGTGTATCTGACCCATGCTTTGTCTGCAATGCACATTTGCCATGAATCATCAAATTGCAGCATTCTTGAACATGCTAAACTTGCTTTGATTCAGCCAGCTAGCTCGTTCTAAATGGCTAAAACAGACAAATTCGTCAAATATACCAGGCCATATATCCGTAGAAGCTCCGTTGCTACCGCTCGGGTTCACAGGCTTATCAAGGATTATGCGGGGTAATTAACCTAACATCAAAATGTCAACAACCCTCCGTAGTCCAGCAAAGTCTTCTATACACAGCTTAAAGATCTTTATACCAGACCTTGAGCCTCAAAGCAGTCATGGTAAAGCATCCTGTCATTGCAGTTGCAGGATTAGCCTGTGAAACGTCTACCTTCACCCCCTCGCGCACCCTAGCGCCTGCATTTCATCCCCGCAGAGGAAACGAAGTGATCGATGGATACGACTTCATACAGGCGGGCACACCTCTAGGCGATGCAGCAGAATGGCACGGTGCTTTGATTGGCCATGCATTACCCGGTGGAATGGTGACGCGCGATGCCTTCGAGGAGCTGGCGGGAGAGATTGTGGGGCGCTTAGGCAATATTGTTGCGACTACGAAGGTACATGGTCTCTGGTTTGATATTCATGGCGCTATGTGCGTGGAGGGCATTAATGACGCCGAGGTTGAACTTCTGCGACGGATTAGGGCCGTCACTGGTCCTGGTGTCATTGTGTCGGCGTCTATGGATTTACACGGAAATATTTCTAGGGAATTAGCACATGAGTTGGACATTTTAACATGCTATCGGACGGCTCCGCATGAGGATGAATCAGAGACTAAAGAGCGAGCGTGTCGCAATCTTGTTGACCTTCTTACGCAGTCTTCTGAGCTCGCTGGAGGTCCGGTACGACCCCTCAAAGCGTGGATTCCAGTGCCCATCTTGCTACCCGGAGAGCAAACGTCTACGCGTATTGAGCCGGCTAAGGGTCTTTATGAGATCGTGCCTGAAGTCGAGGCAGAACCCGGGGTGATCGATGCCGCGATATGGGTCGGATATCCCTGGGCCGACGAGCCACGGAATCGCGGCGCCATAGTTGTCACAGGGTGGGATGAAACGGCCATTACTGCTGGAGCGGAGCGTTTAGCAAAGAAGTTCTGGGACTCGCGCAAGGACTTCAAGTTTGTCGCACCAACAGGGTCTTTCAAACAATGTATCGATACGGCGTTGGCCTCGCCTGTCCACCCTTTCTTCATCTCCGACTCCGGAGATAACCCGACTGCGGGCGGTTCAGGCGATGTGACTTGGGGACTGACGCGGCTACTCGATCGATCCGAGTTTAAAGGTCCTTCGGGACCGAAAGTTATATATGCCAGTGTTCCGGGCCCGCAAGCCGTCCAAACAATGGTTCAAGCAGGTGTCGGTGCTACAGTAACTGTTACAGCGGGAGCGGAAGTGGACCATATCCATGCTGGCCCTATCACCATGACGGGACGCGTGCATTCGATCAAGCATGGCGACAAGGACGCCGTCATCGAGGCAGTCTTGCAGGTTGGCAGTGTGTTTGCGATTCTTACTCAGCTTCGCAAACCTTACCATCACGAACGTGACTTTACTGATCTCAATCTGAACCCTCGTGCTACGGATATAGTGATCGTTAAAATTGGATACCTAGAGCCGGAACTGTTTGATATGGCTGCAGATTGGATGCTCGGGCTCACTCCTGGTGGTGTGGACCAAGACATCAAGCGACTGGGGCATAAACGCATTCGTCGACCGATGTGGCCTTTTGATACTACTTTCCCGGAGCCTCCCGATTTAACGGCGCGGATCATTGCGAAGTCTAATGAACCGATGGATGGACCTGATGAGTGACAGAGCTTCTGTACTGAGAAGTTTGCAAAAGCTAAAGGCATAAGGTGGATATGATGGAGTATACATTAGTTTTACGCATAGGTTAGAGTTATCTACCAGTACTATCAGGTATAGCTCACATGGACTTCAACTTGGACCAAACTCCAGGGGCTTTGGCTGACCCCACCAGTCGCATGGGTTAAATCGCCAGGCTCCATTACCCGCGGCAAACCAGTACTTGACCACGTAGGGCAACATCCACGGCAAGGGAGGAAAGTCAGTGCCGCCTTCGTAGGTCTTGTCGGCACAGCCAAGTAACGTGGGGAAGATATCATACTGTGGTAGACGAGTTAGCACCCAACCTGCCGGCACCATATGGATAGTGTATAAGAAAAGTGAAATGGCAGCCTACAAGCATTGCGATATTCCCCGTTTTCTGTGCAATTTTCCCAACCTCTTTCCATATATTCTTCAACCCGTCGCTATCGATGTCTCCCATACCCAAGAAGATATCGATCTCAGCGTAGAGGTGATCCGTCAGGGCCTTGCTGAAAGAGTCAATTATTTTCTCCATGCCATCGGTTCCTTTCCACCGGTACTCTTCGGGCTTCGTGGCCGAGGAATAAGCAATCAGTTTCTCTAGTCCGTCATGGAACAGCTCGTGTTGATGCTTTGGGTCATCCATAAACCCTGGTCTATCGATAAACTTCTCAATCTCTGGAAACATGAAAGTCTCCTCAACCCAGTGATGGTGATGCACCATCTTGGCCCACGACTGAACGTAGAAGAGAAGGTCCTTGACATCCTGGGCGTTGAACTGTTCGTCAGTAGCAATGGGCACGTACGGCGCCTGTTGGAGAATGGCATTCAGTCCTCGTATGATGGCATTATGCGCATGTGCCATCTCAGAGGCGCCATGAACGTGACCGAGCGATCCCTGAGCATTTGGTCAGCCGGTGTCATTCAGCTCTTTCTGCTGGACTATGGGCACATACATCCAAGGTCTTTGACGGCGTCGCGATAAGGTGGAAGGGCTCGTCTGCCCACGGGGCGCTCGAGGGTTTCGTGGTCATGGTGCAATCGGGTGTTCTTCCTTAACGCTCACAATTGCATGATCGAAGTGAAATCTGGTCAATGGTTGATTGCGTCGGAGCCGCGCCTACAAGAAACTTTGAAACAAATATTTACACGCAGACGCCCCAGTGTCTGTGCGAGAGCCAAGAAATGAAATACGGACCCAATCGACCGGGTTGGCTTAACGCCGTCAGCCTAATTTTTTAAGTCGCCAATGGCTGGAGTGAGAAACGCAAGCTGACTGCACTTGCTCCAGCTATCATCATTAGTTGGCCAGATTGTTGGTTTCTTCGCAGCTGGTTGGCGGAAGTTTACGCTGCAAAGCCCTATGCTCAGCCTCGTGGAAACTCAAATATCGCGATTGTTGTCGTCTAACTGGAAGAGATGCTCAAGTGCTCATTAATACGATAGAATGCTGCGTTGCTACCCAGACAACCTGTGAACCAAGTTATGATTCATGAATTATTTGTAACATTTCATGGACTTATCTTATCGTGGACTTCTCCAGTGGGCTTTCTCTTACCCGGTACTTGATCGTTACATTGTCTACGTACGGGCCATCATGATATTTCATGAACTTATGACTGGGTACTCCTGCGGCGAACATAATATTAAGCTTCTCAAATGTAGTCTTGGAAATAGCCCCGAAGAAATGTGAGGAACGCGAATGCAAACTAGACGAAACCTGTCTTCCCTCGCCAGTCCCAATCTGCTGAACTCATCATGTATAGCGATATAGTAGACAATGCATAGTACATATTGAGCTTCTATGTTGTGTTGCATTGAGGGATCTTATAGAGGATGTTAAAGGGATATGAGGAAGGCAGGTTTTAATGACCTCTCGAGTCCAGCGACTTAGGTTCACCTTTCGACGTCATAGAATTAACGACTCGGTTCAATTCGAGATCTTTGGCTTGCCGTCGGAGTGCCAATGATCAGTGTCGATTATTCGTGAGCATGCTGGGTCATTCAATCTACGTTGGTAGTTCACATGTAACGTGGAAGTGTGCAAGTGCCTCTTCCTATCTCATAGAGACAAATATCTCATTAGGATTGAAGACCTGACTTCTTTATAGGCTATATAGTAATCTATTACTGAACTAAATATTGCCACTAGTGAGTTTCAGCAAACGGGCAGAGTGCTTTGATGGCATCCGAATGTGAAGTATTCCCTGCGCGAGCTCCCATGAGATCTCACATGGAAAGGTAGCAGGATAAAGTAGCTCTGTTCTTATAGGACGCCCACAAAGAGCAGGAATCGGTAGCTCAATGCAGTCTGGGCCTCCTCGTCTCCAGACAGCTAAATAGTGAACGCCTGAATCGCGATTGTCTGATGTAGGCACTGCCATGCCTAATGCGACCCAGCCGTCATGCCAGCGAGGAAGGCCGAGAGGCCAGAAAGCAGTAGCCGTGTTAAAATCAGCACGAATTGTACGGTAGACATCCATACCTTGTTTGATCAGCTCAAACTGGTGCGGGCTAAGTTTGTCTAGCCGTCCGCTTAGATGTACGCGGCCGAGAAGACTATTAACCACCGTCATCGCATTAGTTTCGTCATCCCACTCTGGTTGAGGGTATGCCCAAACGGCACCTTGCTCGGGGGTAACAGCTGTTGGAAGAGCGGCAGCAATTGCTGCGTAATGACCGGGATCTTGTTGGTCGCTAGTTGATTGCAAAGCATGGACAGCCAACATAGC